CCCCCCTCTCACTGTTTGTCTCAATTGAATTGAATGTCAATTTGCAATGCTGTCCAATAAACCATCACTATCGTTTACATCTCATAATTTATCCCCGACTAATTTATTGCTAATGCGTCGCTGATTTAAATTTCCCCACAGATGTTGTCGTTTGGCCGTAATTATAAAGTTTATTAATATTTCAGTCGATGCGATTTAACAGTTTCGCAACATATCCTCGTATACACCACTGCTGTGTGTAACATCAGCTCCATCGGACCGAAACTTCATGTAATCTCTGTATCGGTAGTAAACGGACGCGCGCCGGCAAACCGGGGGAGTCCTTTGTGGCCCTTAATCGATATTAAGCCGTGGGTGCGCTTTTAACAAACTGCCTGCAGGTGCCCGAAACCTACAGTCGCACGATTTCACGAACGGCGTCTGCACACGCTCGACCAACTCTCGGCGAGCTCTATACTGCCGCTCCGGCTCCTCGAATATTAATATCACCGGCTTAAAATCACGGGGGTTACACCCCATGACTTTACTATACATCCGTCGTGCTCGCGCGCGCATTATTACACCGCGTTTCCCTCCTCTTCTATTACAAGTTCATCATTACAAGTTCATCGTTTCCCAGACTGCTTCTGCATTTGCTTAACAAGGACCCAACGCACAATAGAGCGCGAGTAATGGCGGCCTGTGTCCACCGTAAATCTATAAATGATACATGACGCCCGGGTGCTTAGATATAAAGATCATTACACGGGGATGGTGGCCATCCTGTAGCGAGATAAATTGAAACTTGCCAAGTTTCACGGTACACTCGCACCATTTCTTCCTGAATAAAACTTGGAAAATCTTTTTCCGACAATCTTCTCTGCTGATATATGTACATTCTCAGATATATCGCGTACTGTACAAACTCACGCTGCTTGCCGGAGCACACCTTTCCCTCATCCATATCCCTTACGAATACGAGGCACTTCTGTTCGAGGGGAGTTGCTTTGTAGAATAACGGGGCGAAGAATAAGGAGAGATCGGATAAGTGTCGCGAGCGTGCTTCACGTGATGAGACAAATGAGACGTTGACGCGTTCCCCGTGAGGAATTCGTCCCTCGCACGTTGTCCACCCCCAGCTGAGACGTCTAAAATCTAGAAATCTAGTGAAAACATTTGTTTCAGCTAAAGTGCTTCGAATAGTATCATTCGAGGAAAACTTGCCGAAAGTGTGGAAAATGCAAAGCAATGAAGTCCGTTACTTTACGGAGACCGTGCAAGTTTCCACGAATGTTTTATTACAGGTATTCGTTAGATATTGTTCTACATCCGTGCGACCTCGTGTACGATGGCATATATGTATATTTGAGCCAAGCTACAATACACTCGAGGTTAATGCGCAATGGTAATTTATCCGACGGCGTTAATTAAATTGAGATCAGCACTCCGGCATCGGCGCTTGCTCCGAACACGATAGCAGGCACGTGTGTGCACACACGTGTGTACGTGTGTATGTTATCGGCTCACGTGTTCATCAGTTAACTTTCCCCGGGCTCTACGGAGCCTTTTGCCCCGATTAAACGGGTCTCAGTCAATAAGTCAACGGAGCCAACGTAAGACCGGCACGCAGGTACAAGGCGATCGTCGTACAATACACACGAGGAAACGATCTTGACAACGGGAACCAGGTCAGATGGTGTGGTACAAAGTTAGAAACGAGACTACATTTTGTTACGTCGCGTCAATTTACGCTGTACACGCGTTTAAATTATGCATTCGCGCTCGATAAGTCGATTGCAATGCTCGCGCAGCAGAAGCTAGAGGTGCGGAAACGTGTGTGGAGGTGGAAAACCGTTCACCACTGTCAGAAGCTCCGATCGCGATCGACGACAATTTGATGAGATTCTGACAGCGGAACTTTCGACGATGATGGTCCAGTTTCGCAATCGTGCCGATCAAACAGCTTGTTTAAAAAGAAATCTCATTTTATATCTATTCACCGTTCACGTATACATGACTTGGTGAAGAAAAATACTTCAGCTCGAAATTTTGCGTCCATTTCGGTCCACATTTCAGAGCTTAAGGGTAGCCGCCGTAGTATCGATCTGGCACGCAGTGCTGTTTTAAGACCGCGGTTCTCAACCCTGTTTTCGCGACGGCTGCTTCCCACCATTATCGGCAACGTCTTTTTATATGCAACGTCGACTCTTTTTTTTTTTTTTCATCGTTAACATAGGTTACGTGTACATTAGCGTTGTTTAAAAATAGGAAACGGCACGCCTTGAATATACTATAAGTCGTTCCAGTCGACTTATAAGGCTATTTATAAGATAAGTAACACCTTTACGGCGATAATATCATCCCTGCGTTATAAATGATGATGTCCCAAATATATGGCGAAAGTAATCAGCTTAACGTAATTCAGGACACAATATTTCTCTAGATTACGACGGGTGACTTTCGCGATAAGGGTGTATTTTCAGTTATTTCTGTTCTAGGCCGTACCAGCGGCCACGTTCGGACTTCGAATCAATAGCGCGATTATATCTGTATTTCTTGTACGGTAACTGTCACTTATACGAATAAACACAATTTCCGCGTTTTTCTAATGCGCAATTACAGGATCTGTTAATTTCCAAGTCTTCCTTTTTTTTCCTTCTCTTTCTCTCCCCGAATCCCCGTGGATCATGATTCAATTATCATCCGTTATGACCTTACTAAAATAACAGACGGGACTCTACATATGAAAGTAAGGAACATTTCACGTATAACTTGCTTGTGAAAAATTCAGACTCAAGCACCCGACACGCTTTGCCCGACGGCTTATAGTACAATTCTCAAATTCTTCAAAACGAGACTCTCTGAGCACAAGTTGGACTTTATTGTTACAACCCAGTTAAGAGATCTGTCTTGTAGGTCTCGTTAGAACTCGCAAAGAAGATGAAATTTTTATGTCGGCGGAAAAATTTTTTTCTTGCGTTGACATCATTAGCTTCTCAGAGAGTCCCTCTCATGTGATAAATGTATAAGTAACGCCGAAGAGACCTTAGTGAAAACGTAACTACAGGGTCAGACTGCAAACCCGGTAAATCCTTCGGGGGGATAAAACATATCAAGGTACGCGTGTCCATCGGATAGACCTGTTAAAACGAGCGTATCGTACTAGAAGATAACTCCGTGGAATATTAAACGAGCGATATTATATTATACGTTATAAATTATTCATCCCGCGGACTCAATACACTTTGATCGCTTCCTGTTAAACCAGCAGAATTTGGTGGTGGGAAGGCACGTGAAGGTTGGATCAGTGGGGCATATTGTGGATCAATGTAACATATTGAAATAACGTATCTGCAATTTTCGGGGGCATTCGGGATCGAACGTTTATTGACAGATTCTATTTTACAGAACTTCTGTAAAAAATTCATGAGTTATTTTGGGAGAGGATATATTAGAAGATAACATGAGATATTTTATACGAGAAACGAAACGCTAAATTTTGTGGAGCTCCTCATTTATTTATAATTTTTTACACTTGCATGTACATTAAAGTTTCATGTAAATTGTCACTCGTGTTATCACTTGTATTATTTTCATGTAGATTTAACGATTCGGGCACAATTTAATTTTTTACGCACGAGTTCAAAAAAAATTCTTTTACATTTGTCAGTGGAGTACATCTTTCGGTGGACACGCGAGGAGTCTTTGCATAATGCAAGTAACTCGAAACGGAAAAGAGAGACATCGAGAAGTGTAAATTTCGGTATGTCTTGTCATAAATCACGAGGTGAGAAATTGAGCCGAAAGAGTACGAGGGATTTCTCGTGGGATACGTGGCGCGTGAGGTTACCTTGACACATTGAAAAAAAAAAAACGAGAAAGAAGCATCATTGATTTACCAAACGAGCTCGCCGTACGAGGCGCACTCCAGCACTTGCTGCAGCCTTTACCGCAATGCATTAGCAGTCAAAAGATTACGTGACGATCATCCCCTGCCCTTTCAAAAGTCGCCTAGCGCGGAAAGCCGCAGTATATTCTGAAAGAAATTCAACATCTTCTATTAATATACATTTCTGCAATATAACTGGATGAGGATTATATTGCGCGTATAATGCGATGTCGGAATAAAGAAGATGATAATTTCATGTCGCATTAATATGAGGTTTTACATTCTCTGTGTTGGAATGAAAATAAGAAGATCAGATTGCACGAAGAAAGAAAGACATATACAATATATATTATATATCACGAGAAACGCAATAAAGCATTTTCTTTGAATAATTTTAATTACGTCCTTTCGCTTCCTCATTCTCAAAGATTCTGTCGAAACAAAAGGCAAAAAATACGAGATATATATATATATATATA